TTGTGATGGAACCTTCTGTTTCTCTTACTATTAGAATAGAGAAATTTAATATTTAAACGACCAACCTCTACAGTCAGTTCCATTTCCTGAGTAGCCATTTTTACATGTACAATTGAAAGATCCATTAGTATTGTTACAGTACGCATTGTCATGGCAATTATGAGAACTCACACCACATTCATCGATATCTGAATGAAATATCAACAAAAGTTACAGCGTAGTTATATGCATATATCTCTTTGCAAAATGAACAGGATAATTAAAATTTCTTCAAAGTTTTGAACTGTGCAAAGTTAGAATTACATCGTCTCTAATAATTACATACGGCTAACCTTCGCAGTCAGTTCCATTTCCCAAGTAGCCGCTTTTGCATGAACAATTGAAAGAACCATCGGTATTATTGCAGTAGGCATTATGATGGCAATTATGAGATTTTTCAATGCATTCGTCGATATCTGAAAAAACATTTAATTAAGGATTAGGATTTTTTTATAATTATAGTGTTCATATATTCCCAAAAATTTTGATATTTTGCAAGTGGCATAAAAAAACTCAATTTTTCAATCATAAATTAAAATGATGGTGTAAAACAGTGCATAACATTCGTAGAGATATGTGCAAGAGAAATTTCATACAAAATATTCTGCCTATATAAGAGCGAAATATTCTAATTAAAAATTTTCATTTCCTATGATCGACTTAAATTTGTGTTCTGATCATTAGAAATATAGATTCGATTGAAGTCATTTATGAAATATTTACGGAAACCTCGGCAGTTTTTTCCGTTTCCTGAGTAGCCTTTTTTACATGTACAATTGAAAGATCCATCGGTATTATTGCAGTAGGCATTATGATGGCAATTATGAGATTTTTCAATGCATTCGTCGATATCTGAAACAACATTTAATTAAGGATTAGGATTTTTTTATAATTATAGTGTTCATATATTCCCAAAAATTTTGATATTTTGCAAGTGTCATCGAAAAAAACTCAATTTTTCAATCATGCATTAAAATGATGGCGTAAAACAGTGCATAACATTCGTAGAGATATGTGCAAGAGAAATTTCATACAAAATATTCTGCCTATATAAGAGCGAAATATTCTAATTAAAAATTTTCATTTCCTATGATCGACTTAATTTGTGTTCTGATCATTAGAAATATAGATTCGATTGAAGTCATTTATGAAATATTTACGGAAACCTCGGCAGTTTTTTTCCGTTTCCTGAGTAGCCTTTTTTACATGTACAATTGAAAGATCCATCGGTATTATTGCAGTAGGCATTATGATGGCAATTATGAGATTTTTCAATGCATTCGTCGATATCTGAAACAACATTTAATTAAGGATTAGGATTTTTTATAATTATAGTGTTCATATATTCCCAATAATTTTGATATTTTGCAAGTGTCATCGAAAAAACTCAATTTTTCAATCATGCATTAAAATGATGGCGTAAAACAGTGCATAACATTCGTAGAGATATGTGCAAGAGAAATTTCATACAAAATATTCTGCCTATATAAGAGCGAAATATCTAATTAAAAAATTTTCATTTCCTATGATCGACTTAATTTTGTGTTCTGATCATTAGAAATATAGATTCGATTGAAGTCATTTATGAAATATTTACGGAAACCTCGGCAGTTTTTTCCGTTTCCTGAGTAGCCTTTTTACATGTACAATTGAAAGATCCATCGGTATTATTGCAGTAGGCATTATGATGGCAATTATGAGATTTTCAATGCATTCGTCGATATCTGAAACAACATTTAATTAAGGATTAGGATTTTTTATAATTATAGTGTTCATATATTCCCAATAATTTTGATATTTTGCAAGTGTCATCGAAAAAAAACTCAATTTTCAATCATGCATTAAAATGATGGCGTAAAACAGTGCATAACATTCGTAGAGATATGTGCAAGAGAAATTTCATACAAAATATTTGCCTATATAAGAGCGAAATATTCTAATTAAAAATTTTCATTTCCTATGATCGACTTAATTTGTGTTCTGATCATTAGAAATATAGATTCGATTGAAGTCATTTATGAAATATTTACGGAAACCTCGGCAGTCTGTTCCGTTTCCTGAGTAGCCTTTTTTACATGTACAATTGAAAGATCCATCAGTATTGTTACAGTAGGCGTTGTTATGACAATCATCAGAAGCCGCGACACACTCATCGATATCTGAATGGATTGAAAATTTAGGAATTTATTAGAAAAACTTGTTTTTACCTCTAAAATTGAAATTTCTTAAAAATATCGATTTTTTCTTGTGATGGAACCTTCTGTTTCTCTTACTATTAGAATAGAGAAATTTAATATTTAAACGACCAACCTCTACAGTCAGTTCCATTTCCTGAGTAGCCATTTTACATGTACAATTGAAAGATCCATTAGTATTGTTACAGTACGCATTGTCATGGCAATTATGAGAACTCACACCACATTCATCGATATCTGAATGAAATATCAACAAAAGTTACAGCGTAGTTATATGCATATATCTCTTTGCAAAATGAACAGGATAATTAAAATTTCTTCAAAGTTTTGAACTGTGCAAAGTTAGAATTACATCGTCTCTAATAATTACATACGGCTAACCTTCGCAGTCAGTTCCATTTCCCAAGTAGCCGCTTTTGCATGAACAATTGAAAGAACCATCGGTATTATTGCAGTAGGCATTATGATGGCAATTATGAGATTTTTCAATGCATTCGTCGATATCTGAAAAAACATTAATTAAGGATTAGGATTTTTTTATAATTATAGTGTTCATATATTCCCAATAATTTTGATATTTTGCAAGTGTCATAAAAAAACTCAATTTTTCAATCATAAATTAAAATGATGGTAAAACAGTGCATAACATTAGTAGAGATATGTGGAAGAGAAATTTCATACAAAATATTCTGCCTAATAAGAGCGAAATATTCTAATTAAAAATTTTCATTTCCTATGATCGACTTAATTTGTGTTCTGATCATTAGAAATATAGATTCGATTGAAGTCATTTATGAAATATTTACGGAAACCTCGCAGTTTTTTCCGTTTCCTGAGTAGCCTTTTTTACATGTACAATTGAAAGATCCATCGGTATTATTGCAGTAGGCATTATGATGGCAATTATGAGATTTTTCAATGCATTCGTCGATATCTGAAACAACATTTAATTAAGGATTAGGATTTTTTTATAATTATAGTGTTCACATATTCCCAAATTTTGATATTTTGCAAGTGTCATCGAAAAAAACTCAATTTTTCAATCATGCATTAAAATGATGGCGTAAAACAGTGCATAACATTCGTAGAGATATGTGCAAGAGAAATTTCATACAAAATATTCTGCCTATATAAGAGCGAAATATTCTAATTAAAGATTTTCATTTCCTATGATCGACTTAATTTTGTGTTCTGATCATTAGAAAATATAGATTCGATTGAAGTCATTATGAAATATTTACGGAAACCTCGGCAGTCTGTTCCGTTTCCTGAGTAGCCTTTTTACATGTACAATTGAAAGATCCATCAGTATTGTTACAGTAGGCGTTGTTATGACAATCATCAGAAGCCGCGCCACACTCATCGATATCTGAATGGATTGAAAATTTAGGAATTTATTAGAAAAACTTGTTTTTACCTCTAAAATTGAAATTTTCTTAAAAATATCGATTTTTTCTTGTGATGGAACCTTCTGTTTCTCTACTATTAGAATAGAGAAATTTAATATTTAAACGACCAACCTCTACAGTCAGTTCCATTTCCTGAGTAGCCATTTTTACATGTACAGTGAAAGATCCATTAGTATTGTTGCAGTATGCATTGTCATGGCAATTATGAGAACTCACACCACATTCATCGATATCTGAATGAAATATTAACAAAAGTTAGAGCGTAGTTATATATTCATATCTCTTTGAAAAATGAACAGGATAATTAAAATTTCTTCAAAGTTTTGAAATGTGCAAAGTTAGAATTACATCGTCTCTAATATTTACATACGGCTAACCTTCACAGTCAGTTCCATTTCCCAAGTAGCCGCTTTTGCATGAACAATTGAAAGAACCATCGGTATTATTGCAGTAGGCATTATGATGGCAATTATGAGATTTTTCAATGCATTCGTCGATATCTGAAAAAATATTTAATTAAGGATTAGGATTTTTTATAATTATAGTGTTCATATATTCCCAATAATTCTGATATTTTCCAAGTGTCATCGAAAAAAATTCAGTTTTTCAATCATGCATTAAAATGAAGGTTGTAAAACAGTGCATAACATTCGTAGAGATAGGTGAAAGAGAAATTTCATACAAAATATTCTGCCTATATAAGAGCGCAATATCCTAATTAAAAATTTTCATTTCCTTTGATCGACTTAATTTTTGTCCTGATCATTAGAAATATAGATTCGATTGAAGTAATTTATGAAATATTTACGGCAAACCTCGGCAGTCTGTTCCGTTTCCTGAGTAGCCTTTTTTACATGTACAATTGAAAGATCCATCAGTATTGTTACAGTAGGCGTTGTAATGACAATTATGAGAAGCCGTGCCACATTCATCGATATCTGAATGGATTAAAAATTAGGAAATTTATTAGAAAAACTTGTTATTACCTCTAGAATTGAAATTTTCCTAAAAATACCGATTTTTTCTTGTGATGGAACCTTCTGTTTCTCTTATTAATAGAATACAGAAATTTAATATTTCAACTACCAACCTCTACAGTCTGTTCCATTTCCTGAGTAGCCATTTTTACATGTACAATTGAAAGATCCATTAGTATTGTTACAGTATGCATTGTCATGGCAATTATGAGAACTCACACTACATTCATCGATATCTGAATGAAATATTAACAAAAGTTAGAGCGTAGTAATATACATATATCTCTTTGAAAAATGAGCAGGATAATTAAAATTTCTTCAAAGTTTTGAAGTGTTCGAATTTAGAATTATATCGTCTCTAGTATTTACGTACGGCTAACCTTCACAGTCAGTTCCATCTCCGAAGTAGCCGCTCTTGCATGAACAATTGAAAGAACCATCAGTATTATTGCAGTAGGCGTTATGATGGCAATTATGAGATTTTGCAAAGCATTCGTCGATATCTAAAAAAATATTAAACGATAGGGTTAGGATTTTTTATGATTATGGTGTTAATTTTTTCCTCTTAATTCTGATATTTTGCCGAAAGAAACTCCGTTTTCTGTAGCAAGCATTACAATGGAGGTTGTGAACGCATGCATAACATTCGTAGAGATATGTGCATTAGAAAGTTTATACTAAAAATTCTGCCTATAGAGCGAAATATTCTAATTAAATATTTTCATTTTGTTACATCGACTTTCGAGCAAAAAAATTAGAAATATAGATTCAATTGCAGTAATTCATGAAATATTTTCGGCAAACCTCTGCAGTCAGTTCCGTTTCCTGAGTAGCCTTTTTTACATGTACAATTGAAAAATCCATTAGTATTGTTACAGTATGCATTGTCATGGCAATTATGAGAAGTCGCGTCACATTCATCGATATCTGAATGAAATATTAACGAAAGTTAGAGCGTAGTAATTTATATCTGTTTTAAAAATCAACAAAGTGATTAAAATTTCTTCAAAGTTTTGAAGTGTTCGAAGTTAGAATTATATCGTCTTTAATATTTACATACGGCTAACCTTCACAGTCAGTTCCATTTCCGAAGTAGCCGCTCATGCATGAACAATTGAAAGAACCATCAGTATTACTGCAGTAGGCGTTCTGATGGCAATTATGAGATTTTGCAATGCATTCGTCAAAATCTGAAAAATATTCAATTAAGGATTAGGTTTTTTTTGTATTTATAGTGTTTATATATTCCTAATAATTCTGATATTTTGTAAGTGGCATAGAAAAAAACTCAGTTTTTTCAAGCAGTCATTACAATGGAGGTTTTAAAACAGTGCATACATTCGTAGAGAAAGATCCATCAGTATTGTTACAGTAAGCGTTTACATGGCAATTTTGAGAACTGGCAGCACAGTAATCGATATCTGAATAAATTGATAACAAACGCTAGAGCGTTGTAATTTATATATGTTTGAAAAAGGAACCAGGAGATTAAAATTTACGTACAGCCGACCTTGGAAGTCTGTCCCATTTCGGGAGTAGGCGTTATTACATGCATGTACAATTCAAAGAATCATCAGACTGAGTATTGTTACAGTAGGCATTGTAACATGTGTATTGTTACCATTAGGCACTGTAATTGCAATTGTCAGAACCTGCACTACATTCTTCGATATCTCACAAGAATATTGAACGGGAGAATAAAGATTTTTTGTTTAATAAAGGTATTCAAATTTCCTTGAAAATTCTGGAATTTTGCAATATTTTCGTGAATCAAAAGTGAAAATAAAGAAATCAATGGACTTTATTATTATATCTGCATCTATACAAAAATGTCAGTAATTATACAAAAATTCATGTGAAATGTAGCATTTTAATTAGTTAATTTTTAAAAATTCTTTAAGCATTTATTAGGCACTTTAATTATATTTTTGTGCCATTTCATTTCTATTGAAATATCTATATTATGATATGTATAACTGCTAAAAAGAAGATATATGTTAAGTTAGCATAAAAATATATTGGTTTGTGCATTTAATCAAGAGACATTAGGCATTCGGTCGTATATTCATCATTTTTTCGTAAAATATACTCGACATATACAGGGTGTCTCAAAAAAATTCGAATCGAAATTTTGCGTGTAATATTGGAAAATATATTTGACAAATTTGGTTGATTTTTACACCATTGTAAAGTTCATTTGTTTCTCTTTTAAATGACACGTTGTACGTGTCATTTAGTTGAAAAGTGAAGGAGTACTGGTTTGACAAAAAAAGTTCATAAAAATCACAAATTTCCGCTGATGGGAATTGGAAGTTTGTTTTATTGAAAGTTAGTCCTAAAGGGCTTTAAAGTCTAATTATTACTGAAAACTAAAATGCAAATTTATCGCACAAATTCTGCTTATTCAATGTTCAACGATAGCTTTGAAGAACAAAATGCCTCAATTAAGCACGGAATAACGATCATTTATTGATTAAATTTGCATTTTCTTTTGTCTGGAGGTCTCACTTCGAATTCCAATCGGCGGAAAAATTTGATTTCGAGCAACAAATTTTAAAAGACGATAACTCGGCCAGTTTTGGTCGTGTCGATATAAGAACGGTATAATCGCAAACTGAATAAGCTAATCTTTCTTGCCATATAAAAATTATATCGTTTACTTTAGTATTTTATACACAGCAGCCTGTCAAAGTTGCATTCGAATTTTTTTTATACACACTGTATAGCGTCATAAAACTTTCCAAGAAAAATTTGTCAAATTTTTGGGGCCCACACCCGAGCAAATAAAACTCGGGAAAGAAAACTTGTTCGGAATACACACCAGCAAGTTGTAATATAATGATATTTATACGTAGGCAAGAGAAGAACCGGTGTGGAACACCGCGGAAAAATATCTGCGCACGCGCCGAAATATCAAAATATGATGGTAAATGTAAATATCAACTTTTGGAACAAAACATGCCCATTTTTTGATAAAATATAAGTTAAGAAAAGGCAAAAATATACAAGACGGCCAGACAGAACATAAATTAAAAGCCTTCTAGCATTTAGAGTATCGAACGAACTGGAATTCACGGTAAATTTTCCTTTTTTTACGGGGTGGCTTTAGAATATTTTTCGAAAACAAAAGTTTAAACCTAAAAGTTAAGAAAACCCGCGAAAAGTTAAGCTTTCTAATGTATTTAAATTGTAAAATACATCTTAATTTTCAATCATTGAGAACACGCAAACGTCTCGTATCTGGCGACATGTTTTTTTTTAATAAAACGTGTCTCAATTAAAAGTTCGGAAACTGTCTTTGCTTATTTGATAAACAAAATGTTTGAGACAAAAAATTTGTTAACAGTCACCTTTTACAGGTGTTTTTGTAGGATGCCACTTCTAGGACTCTCTGGACGTTTTTTCTCTTAGTTTCTATCATGCAATGTTTATTTATGCCCTCGAAATATGGATTTGAAGACACGAATGAAATCACTCCTTTTTGCCGCCATTTTTAGCCTTCGGAAACGTTCGGAACCGCTTTTTAATTAATTTTAATCTCACTTACAGGCAGAATTGACGCGTGCGCAGACGTTTTTCCGCGGTGTTCCGGTGTGGCGGTCTGAGATTGTTCCGTGCTGAAATTGTTCTGCACATGCGCATTAGCAGTATGCGACCGCGGTCTTGTGTGCCGAAATGTTGCCGTGCTGAGATTGCAACATTCTGCATAATTCTCCGTTCGTAAACACAGCAAGAAAGCAGCCGATCTAAATCTCAATAATTTTTTGATATTTTGAAACAACTGGTGATTTTTTACAAGTAACTATCCAGTGACCATCAACATATTGAAGGTAAGGGCTTCTAAAGTTTAAAAATTTGGTAGATATAAGCTCTTCAAGAAGCGTTGTGATATTTTTGCTTGACATACAGAGCACGTGTAAAAAACTGTGCAAGGCCATATTCATAATAATAAATCGACAGGATTTCGCTTTGGATTCACATCTTAGACTAAGTATACACACTAGAACTTGGCAAGTAAATCTGATACTGGCAGTAGTGTAGGGCATTACGAAATGTTAATGTTTCATCGATCTGATCTGGTCTAAATGTCAGATCACTCTGATGAGCACACAACTTGTTTAAGTTATACACTGTTCGTCTAGAGTAGTGTGTAAATACTACTATATAATTACTACTATATAATTCAATTTTCAGCTATAATTATGAGAGGCAAATTAAATTCAAGACTTCATGCTAGTTACATTTGGCAATGATATATTTATTTTTATTTGAATTACTTCGTTGCTCTAGGTTGTGCGATAATCATGGCTACTGCAACTAAAGTGGTCGCAACTTCAGCCAATGAGACTGCAGCTCCAGAAGAAGTAAATGGCATTGGCAAAGATGTTTTGGTAGAACATGAGTTGTCAGATTCTGCAGCAGTTGGTAATGATGGAAATCATCCGCAAATGGCTAAGCATCATTCAACTAGAGAAGAAAGACTTGCGAAGTACAGAATACTATGCCAGAATCTCATTGTGTACCTGACAACAAATGTTTGCCCACCAAATGTAAGCAAAAAAGAAGCGAGGAACATTAAAAACCAAGCTAAGACACACCAGTGGGATTCTAAAAGTAAGTCATGGTTGTCTAATGTTCATGGCTGTCTAATTTTGTCTATTATTTTCCTATGTATTATCAATTAACTCATCGAGTGGCAATGCACCCCAGTGCGCCCTACTTATTTTGTTTCACTTGTCTAACGCCTGATGATTTTACTCGTCAGTGGGGAAGCTCTGCCACTTAATGGGTTAATATCTTGAATGTCTTGGTTGATTCTATTGTCAACTATTTCAAGTGACTATTAGGTGTAAGGTTACAATTTGCATTGGTGTTCTACAATTTAACCAATAATTTTTATTCCAATGTTCTATATCGAACAGCAATTAGCAAAATCATATTTCTTTTTCATACAGAGAAGGAGTTAGGATATGTTGGTGCAAAGAAAAATATGTGGCAAAAAGTCATCACTGAAGTTGAAGAAATATCAGAAATTCTCTACCAATACCACTCTAATCCAATGGGTGGGCACAGTGAGATAAATAATACTTTGGCAAAAATATCACAGTTTCATTTGTGGAATGGCATGACAGAGGATGTTGTTGAATATGTAAGTGTAACTATTAATAATCTTGTTTATTTACTAGACTTCAACCTTAATCTTTTAAGGCATATCCCATATTATATATAATATTGGCTAAAGTGATGTCAAAAACAGTAAAAAACATATACCATACCATAATGTTTAATAATCATAGTGCATTTCATTGTTAGTGTAAATCCTGTGATCGCTGTCAACGGTTTGAGAAGTTGAAAACCCAAGCACCTGAACTCAAGCCAATTAAAGTGAACAAGGCTTTGGAACTGGTTGGGATGGACCTAATAGGTAAGGCTTCATATAGGTTCTTAACCCATTAACTGGCAATGCGCTCTACTCTTTGTTTTGACAAACAAAAGACGATTTTACTTGTCAATGGGGAAGCTCTGATGCTTAATATGTAAAGCACAAAATTTAACAATGTCTGTCGTTAACCCACAAATGTACATGTATATTTCTATATTTCCTATATTTAAATTTATAGGACCTCTGCCCACCACTGATAATGGATATATGTTTTGACATTCACGGACTACTACAAAAAGTTTGTGGACTTCTATCCATTAAAGGAAAAAGCAGCTGCTGGAATTGCACAGAGTATAAAAACATTTGTTTGCAGGTAAAGTAAAAACTAACATGTTTAAAAACCCTAAATTTATTATTTGGACGAAGATATTTTTTCTTATGTTTCTAGATGGGGTGCTCCTTGCAGCCTTCTGTCTGACCAAGGACGGGAAATTCTGGCAAAGGTAAACACATATATTTATTTAGCTTTGATTTATAATGGCATACCATGGAGCATTAATTGATCAATAACCATCTTCACACAAGCTCAATATATTTTAACCTTTTATTAGGTGAATGCAGAGGTTTGCAAAAAGTTTGGCATCAATCGTTCTGTCACTAGTGCGTACCATCCTCAGACGAATGGTCTTGATGAACGGACCAACAAACCCTCAAAGTACGTCTTGCCAAATTAGTAAATGAGCACCAAAACAATTGGGATGACTTTTTGGAAGATGTTGCATTTTCAATACGGACACAGAAACAAGG